GCTGCTGTCACCATTGTCCTTGTGTTGGAGGAGGCAAGCATCAAGAGGCAGGTGACTGGTCATCTGGCTGGTGTCAGAAGCCTGGCACAGGTTCCACGCGGCTGGCCTGGGCACATGGGCTTCCTCCATGCGGGGCTCACACGTGTACACGAGTCACACATACAGGCGAGGTCCTCTGGCTCCAAGCTTTCTGGTCTAGTATTTCTCCATGTTCTCACTTAAATAGGCATGGAGGTTCAATCTCCTTTCTTCTGAAATGGAGATGAAGGTCCCCTTTCCAGGAAGGAAGGAAGGAAGGAAGGAAGGAAGGGAGGGAGGGAGGGAGGGAGGGAGGGAGGGAGGGAGGGAGGGAGGGAGGAAGGAAGGAAGGGGAAGGAAGGAAAAGAAAGCAAGCAAGCAAGCAAGCAAGCTGTGGGCTCTTTCTTTTAAATTGTCCCTTTTTTGATAGGAATGTCTTGTCTAAGACATTTCAATTTAAGGGGCATCTAGGTGGCTCAGGCGGTTAAGCTTCTGCCTTCAGCTCAGGTCATGGTCTCAGGGTTCTGGGATCGAGTCCTGCATCAGGCTCCCTTGCTCAGCTCGGGGGTGGGAGGAGTCTGTTTCTCCCTCTCCCTCTGCTACTCCCCCTGCTTGTGCTCTCTCTCTCTCTCCCTCTCAAATAAATAAATAAACTTGTAAAAAAATAAATAAAACATTTCCTTTTCAAACGACCCTCTCAGCTTTTGGGGGTGTTTTTAGCAGGCACAGCCACACCAAGGGCTTTGTCAAGTTCAGGTCCACGGCCTAGCTGAAAGCAAAGGGGTAGAGAGGGAGACGGGCAAGCGGGAGAACACAGACTGAACTGCTCTTATCTCATTGGGGACCAGATTACTCGGACAACAGGGTGATCCACAACCCGGGGAAACACGAACTGGCCTCCACGTATCCTATTTCCCCTCCTTGACAAAATCAGACACATCAATTTACCTCGTGAATCATTTGGGGGAAAAAAAAAGATTTCAATCATCATGAAAGTCATGAAATTTGTCATGAGATTTAAAAAAAAAAATCATCCAAAAAGACTGCACTATTTTTAACACTTGCTTATTTCCCCGTTCCTGGCCCAGCCTCAGTAGGAACTTCCAAGGGTCATGGCATGTTCCCCTCCATGCTAGGTGAAGGGCTGCAATATGCCCAGGTGGGAACTGCACACGCAGGAAGGATGAGCCCCTCTTTGTGCTGCTGTTTGGCTAGAGTAACAGCTCACTTGAAAAGCACACATGCTGGAGCACCTGGGTGGCTCAGTGGGTTAAACATCTGACATCTGCTCCGGTCACACTCTCAGGGTCCCAGGATCGAGCCCAGAGTCAGGCTTCCTGCTCAGTGGGGAGTCTGCTTCTCCCTCTGCCCTGCTCCCTGCTCATGCTTGAGCTTTCTCCTTCTCTCCCTCTGAAATAAATAAAATCTGAAAACAAAAACCTATAATTCTGCCCCAAGAAAAATACTGTTAAGAAAATAGACAAGTTTCTGGGCAAACAGATCCCCAATGTTCTCACCATCCAAAAAAAAAAAAAAAAAAAGAAGAAAGAAAGTGTTCATGTGACGTGATGATCCTGTTGGCCAGCACTATGGGTGGTTGTTATTTTGCAGTGTATGAGTGTGTCAGATGAACACACTGTACATGTTAAACTTACACAATGTTATATGTCAACTGTATCTCAGTTAAGGCTGGAAATAAAAAAAAAAGAAGCAAGTCAGAGTGGGACTAAATATTTGCAAAATAATTGTCAAAGGACTGATGTCTGGAATACACAATGAGCATCTACAACTTAATAACAGAGACACAACCAGATAAAATACAGGCAAGAGAACTGAACAGATGTATCACAGACGAACATATACCAACGGCCAATAAGCACATCATCATCCATCACCACGGAAATGCAAAGGAAAATTCAATGAGATACATTATATACCCACCAGGATGGCTAAAGACCAACAACACCAAATGCTGCCAAGGACAGGAGCTAACTAGAACTCTCTTACATCATTAGAGTGTAAATGATGTGACCACTTTGGGGAAAAGACCTGGGGAATTCTAGAATGTCCCCAGTAGCTTTATTCATAGTAGCCCCAAACTAGGAAGTGTCCATCAGTTGGAGAATGGAAGAACAGACTGTGTGGTATAGGCACCTCGGGCCACAACCTCTGAAACACACAGCAGCATGAGTGAGTCTTAAAAACATCATGCCAAGAGAAAGAGGCCTCACCAGACAGCATACACTCCATGATTATATTTCCATGAAGTTCTAGAACAGGTCAAACTAATCTGCGGTGAAAAAAAAATGCAGGCGGGTGGTTGCCTCTGGGGGGTGGCAGTGGGATTGGGGTTGAATGCTAAGAGGCAGAAGAGAATATTCTGGGGGTGATGGTGATGTTCTGATAGATCAGGATGTATTTGTCAGAACTTCTCAATTGGTACACTGAAGATTGGAGTATTTCACTATACATTTTATCCCCATGGACCCCAATCGATAAACAAATATTAAACTCTGGCCAATGACACACATGCTAAAGTTTGTGGTAGGAGGAGTGCACGCATGTTTACAAATTCCTCAGAAATATATCACAAACTAGGCTGAATTGATGGATGGGGTGGGGTGGCTGGTTATATAATAATGCAAATATAGCAAAATGGTAGTTGTGCAATCCGGGGGGGGGGAGTAAATGGGTGTTCACTGCTCTTTCAGGTTGACTGCGTGTTTGAAATTTTTCATAATAAAATGTTGGGGGGGGGATAGAGAATACAAAGCTATAAAAATAGGATAGAACACAACATGCAGTCTCCACCCCGGGTCTGAAATCAGAGGGCTACACCTATTTGCAGGGAAACACGGAGGTCCCCACTTCCACACTGGCCTCTAGATTTGGCTCAGTATAAGAAACCTGGACAGAGTCACATCATCAACATATGCCCCTGGGCCTCCGTATCAAAAAGCCAAAGTACCATCCTAGGGTTTTACGCCCAAAGAGACATTGAGAAAGCTTGTGTGTATGTGTGGAGTGGGTTGATGGCCAGCCCAGTTCAGCTGTTTTAAGTCATTTGATCCAGTTGGGAAGACAACAGGGGGGTGTACATGGATGAGGGGCCCACCAGGTAATTCATTCTAAGCCCAATCCCGTGTGATCATGCCTATCCTCTCCAGTTGACAGAAAAAGACACAAATGGGGTTTCAGATCAAAAGCGACTACCCTATGAGGCAGGTTTATCATCCTGGTTTTATGATGGATACGAAGGCTCGGAGATGGTAAATAATGTGTCCAAGAACCCCCAACTGGAGCTGGAGTGCAAGCACAGCCCTAGCAGGCCTCAAAGCACAGGCCTTTTCCAGAAAATCCCCCTCCCAAACCCTTCCCCGGACCAGAAGACACAGGGGTGCAACCCGTGTGTGTCTATAAAGCACCGTGACCACGGAAAATCAGGCTTCAGGAGACAATGTAAAATTTCATTCCCTTAGGGCAAGAGGCCCCATCCCACTCCCATGGTGGCCCTGCACTTCACAGATGGTGGTGGATCACCTATTGCTCTGTGTCTCCCTGCTGGGCGTGCTCATCAGGCCACAAGCATGCCAAACCCAGCCTGCAGTGGGTCTACCTCCTGTTCACTGTGTTAGAGAATGTCAGGCACTACCTGTTTCCACCCACAGACTTCAGCGAAGGAGTACAGTTCGGCAGCGACCTGTCACCCCCAGCCTTTGGTGTCTGCCTCCACCTGCCTGTGCACCACCCCACTGAGCTGTGAGCAGTGACAGGTCCGGAAGGGGCCAGAACTCCTTCCCCACAGTTTGGGTCTGTAACTCTGCCACCAGCTCTTGGGCAAAGGGGAGCAGGGGAAGCATTAAGAAGCTTGTAACTGGGGCAAGTGTCTCACTGATCTGAATTCGCATGCCATCACAAATTCCAAAGGGCTCCATTCCACCCACCATGAAGAGACACAGACCCTCCTATAGTTTTCCACGGGGCTCAACTCCAGCACCAAGCATCCGACTCATTCACGCAGGTTAAAAAAAAAAAAAAATCTATAAACACCAGGCTTTGTGACTTACCAGAGCTCTTCGGGGTGATCTTTTGAGAGCAACCTATCTATGTAAACATCAAATATGCCATTCACTTATTAAAAAAAAAAGAAAAGAAAAAGAAAAAGGAAAGAACCAGAATCCTATGAAAATTCCTTTAATTTTCATCTTTTGGAAATACATGTTTCATTTTTTTATTTCCATGATACAAAAAAAATGTTAAATATCTAACAATGATCTGTATGAAGAAGATCTACTGAAGTAGATCTGTGAAATTCTGTCACTGTTGGGATCAGTTTCAACAGAGAAAAGGGCTGGTACATGTCACTTGTGATTTCACGCACACGTACATGCACACACATGTGCCACCTCAGTCCCAGGCACACACTCAGAGATGATGAGCAGGCGGAGACAGGGGAAAGCGGACACAGCACTCATGGAAAAACAGAAGTGAACTTTTTGGACGTGTACAGTCCGCCGTGAGGAACTCACATCTTAGGAAAAAGGACTCTAAACAGATACGGCCCGAAGGCCAAGGCAAAGGGTAAGCTCCTTTGCAGGTGGACAGCAGATGTTTTCCTACTGGAAAAATGGGCTTGAGCGCTGAGGATTTTCAGGCAGCTATGGGGGGAAGTGGGCAGAGGCAAGTGATCTCCCCATCCGTTGGGAGGCCCCCGAATCAGGAGAGAACCCCTCGAAGCGAGAAAGACTTCAACCCAAAACTCTGATCACTGTGCCCAAGGATGCTGGCTCTTTGCTTATTTCACAGCCGACATTCCCCGTAGCGTGGATTCTTAAATGTGCTAAAAGTCATGAAAGCAAAGGCTTCACGCAAGCAACAAATAATCAACTGGTTCATAATGTGCACATTCACGACAGCTTACAACCGTGCTGAGTGTCAGCAGACACTTTACATTAAAAGGGAAGAAGAGAGACACAGCCACGAAAATAAAAACTGTTGTGTTTTGTTTTTTTTCCAGGACACATACTTGGTTTCAAACCCCTCCCATACCACATTTTATTAAATTAAATACAGTATGGCTTCCGAATGTGCTGGCTGGTTCCTCTGCAGCCACAGCACCAGTGATGTGTTTCCCTCAGGCCCGGGTTACCACGTGTCGGGAACTTCGAAGAGCTTGGCAGGGCTGTCCGGGATGGCTCCTGGGGGGCCGGGGGGACATAAAACCAAACACGGTGAACAGGTGAGGATGGCACCTGGGGGCCCCAACAACCAGCAAAGAGCAGAGCATCCACTGCTGGCTGCAAAGGCCACTGCAGGCAGGCCTGGGCCAGACACGGCAAGCCCACCCCTGCCCATGGGCAGCAGTGCCCAGCAGCCGGAGGTGACCCCACCCAACGTCACATGTAGGATCAGTGACAGGTCTCCCTGCTTGGACACCTCTTTACTTCACATCTCTCTTGGGGAGCACAAGCTGCATTCTTTGCTAGCCACCATGCTGGGCACTCAGTTAAATATTTTTCTTTTCTTTTTTTTTTTTTTAATTAGAAAAGTTCTATGCCCAGTGTGGAGCTTGAACTCACAACTCCAAGATTGAGTTGTGTGCTCTACCGACTGAGCCAGCCAAGTGGCCCTCAGTTCATTTAATCTTCATAAAAGCCCAGCATGGTGTGGGACACCTGAGTGGCAGAGTCAGTTAAGAGTCCACTCTTGGATTCTGCTGAGATCGTGATCTCAGGGTGGTAAGATCGGGCCCCATGTTGGTTCTACACTCAGTGGAGGGTCTGAATCTCTTCCTCTTCCCCTGCCCCTCTCGCTCGTGCTCTCTCTCAAATTAATAAATTAACTAAGCATAGTAGGATCAATATCCCCATTTTACAGATGTAAGAACAGGCTCAGAGAAGCTAGGTAAGGTGAGCAGTCTCACACAGCCAGCAAGTGGCTGAGGTGGAACTAGATCCTTCCATGACATACACAGCCTGTCATGTCCCAGGACACCAGGTTTCTCTGTGCCAGCTGCTCTGTGCCAGAACCCAGAAGAGAAACCCAAGGGACTGGTGACTTTTTTAGAGAAGCTGACCAATGAGGGTTCAGAGACCCCCAAAAGGGGCAAAAGTCAAAGCGTGCAGCCATTTCAGAGTTCAGCAACACTGGCTAAGTGTCTAAGGTCCTCTTCAGTTACAGTTTTACCCGGAAGCTGCAATGCCACTCTCTGTAATGACAGCAGCACAGCCAGGTGGGGGCCTGGACCAGCCGTGTCAAGCTGAGCGAAGGGGAAGTAAGTCAGAGATGAGTGTGGCCACAATGGAAAGTGTGACAGACCAGGAGCTCCTGCACCAGGGGTGGCGTACATTACTTAAGCAGGGTTGGCAGGGAAAACGGGCAAAGCTAAGCCCCAGCTGCTAACACTCCAGAGATTCCAGAGGGGAGAGGGCTTGGATGCTGCCTAAAATGGTAACTTTTAAAACTGGAGGAGGTGCAAGGTCCTGCAAAGTAGGAAATCACTCAGCTGAGAGTGGCCACCTCAATGGCAGGAATGTCTAAAGATAACTAGGTCTGAACACACAAAATAACACAGGATTTCAGCCAACACGAGAATTCCCACTTGGGATCATTTCCTGAGATGAAGTTCAGACGGAGAGGATGAGAAGACTGGGAGAGGGATACTTGGAGTCTGGTGCCCTGGGTCTCCTCCCAGCAAAGACTGTGTGTAAGACTGCTCTTGAGAAGTGAAGAGGGACAGGAGATGCTCCGCGTGACAGATTCCCAGGATCCAGTTAGGTTATTAAAGAACAAAACACACAGACACTCCCCTCCCCAGAACAAGTAAATAATGCAGATGGGCTGTGTTAAGACAGCACTAGCCTGACCTTTCAATCACAAATTCATATGATACCTGATTGTAGGGGCACCCAGGTGGCTCAGTCACCTGGCAGTTAAACGTCTGCCTTCAGCTCAGGTCATGATCTCAGGGTCCTGGGATCGAGCCCCTCCTCAGGTTCCCTGCTCAGTGGGGAGCCTGCTTCTTCCTCTCCCTCTGTACCTGCCGCCCCCCCTCCGGTCCAGCCCCAGCTCATGCTCTCTTGCTTGCTCAGCTTTCTGTCTCTCAAACAAGTAAATAAAATCTTAAAAAAAAAAAGAAAGAAAAACCTGATTGTAAGTAGGAAAAGCAACACCCATAGGACATTTTTATAATCCACATTACAAAGAAATAGCACAGCAGTCAATTAGCCATTTTAAAGGTAAAAGCCACAATGCCGAGTGTGGGGAACTGAAATAAATTCAAACTAGCTGTGAGGGAAATCAAACAAACAAACAAAAAGCTAAATGGTTGAAAGCAACTGCACTGTCATACTTCTAACAGCACCTGCTGTCAGCTGGATGGGACCATGTGTGGGTGTGGCAGCATGCCAGCAGACACACAGGAAGTGACTTGGTGAGGAGATGGTGAGGAATAGCAGAGTAAGCAAAAGCTTTGGATGAGCAAGTCTGGCTTGGCCATTTGACTGGCTGTGTGGCTCTGAATACCTCTCACGGCCTCATCTATCAGCTGGATTGATCATCGCTTTCTGCCACATGGGCCTGCTGTGGTACAGCCGAGTTCCTGACACAGTCAGTTTTTCATGGATGTTGGGTCTCTTCCCCTTATCGGTAAGGTGGTCCAACACTAAACATGGTTGTTTCCCAGGAAGCCGACAGCCTGCAGTCAAGAAGATCCTAGTTTTCACTACCTAAAATGTGCAGCTGCTGGGCAACAATATGTCCAGAGGAACCAGAACTTTAGGAACCACCTAAAAAGAGACCTGGACCAGAGGGGGCTGGAGGTCACTACTGGTATTCTTTCTAGCACTTTCTAGAAAGGGGGTTGCTGTAGACTGAAGGATCAGTCTCAATGCTGGTGGATAAGGAGATAGGATCAGTGCTCCAAGGAGCTCATTTTCACAGCCCTGTTTTATTTGAGCGGAAAGAATTCTGGAACAATTTTTCTTTTTAAACAAATATTTCTGGATGCCTGCTTCCTGTTAGGATGGTTCTCAATGCATACCTTGCATCATATATAAAAATTAACTCAAAATGGGCTGTATCTCTAAATATAAAGCCTAAAACCATAAAACTTCTAGATGAAAACACAGAAAGATCTTTGTAATCTGGAGTCAGGCAAAGATTTCTTAGATGTGACACTAAAGGCATAATCCAAGAAAAAAAATTATAAATTGGATTTCAGTAAAATTTTAAGCTTCTACTATTTGAAGGTTATTATTAAGAAAATGAAAAGAAAAGCAAAGTTTGGAAGAATGTGCAAAACACCCAAAAGGACTTATAACCAGAACATACAAAGAACTCTCAACGCTCAAGGACAAGAAAAAAACCACCTGATGAAAAAATGGGCAAAAGATTTGAAAAGACATTCTGCCAAAGAAGAGATCTGGATGGCAACTAATTATACACCCTAAAGACATACTTAGCATTATTAGTCATTAGGGAAATTCAAGTCAAAGCCATATGAGATACCACTACAGACCCACTGGAATGGCTAAAATACTGGTGAAGGTGCAGAGCCACTGGAAGCCTCACTGGCTACTCTGGAAAACACTGTGCCAGTTTCTTAGAAGGTGAAACATGCACGTACTTACTTTAAGACCCAGCAATTCCACTCTTAGGTATTTATCTCAAAGAAATGAAAAGTTAGTTCATATAAGAAACTGTTTGCAAATGTTTATAGCAACTTGATTCTTAGTTGCTAAAAAAGTGCTAACAACCTAAATGTCAACGGGCAAAATGGATAAACAGCAATAGGTCCATAAAACAGGATACTAACTCAACAATAGGAAGGAATGAACCACTGGTATGTGCAACAGCAAAATGAATCTCAAACATATTAAGAAAGAAGCATATCAGCAGTTGCCAGGATCTAGGGCTGGGAGGGATGCGACATGAGGGAATCTTCTGGAATGATACAACTGTTCTCTCTCTCTCTTCTTAAAAAGATGTATTCATTTTAGAAAGAAGAGGGGTAGGGACAGAGGGAGAGGAGGAGGGAAAATCTCAAGTAGACTCCCTGCCAAGTGTAGAGCCTGACATGGGGCTTGATCTCACCACCCTGAGATCATGGACCTGAGCTGAAATCAAGAGTCAGATGCTTAACTGACTGAACCTCCAGGTGCCTCTATGACTATTCTCTCTTTTGATCACAATGATGGTTATATGGCTGTATGCATTTGCCAAAACTCATCAAATTGTGCACCTAAAAGTGATGACTTATTGTACATAAACTGTATCTTAATAAAGCTGACCCTGCAAAAGACAGTAGGAATGTTGTTTTAAAATTCAACAAAATTTTAATATAAAATATTATACTGATAATTAAAATTTGGCCAAGAGGTTTTTTAAATGGGAAAAGAACAGGATACCAAACTATGAAGTATGATGTCAACATGTATAAAAATGACAGGCAGAGGAAAAATACTTAACACAGTATCAAGCAACCACTGGGTTTGATTTTCTTGTTTTTCTTTATTTTACAGATTTTCATAGCGAGCATATTATTTTTATTAACAAAATGACAAAAGAAATGAAAATGTGGTTAACACAAAAGGTGACTGTTTGTATGTCTTTACTTTTCTTATATCCAGAGCTGAAAAGGAGAGATTCTAAGAGCGAAGATGTTTCTTCCCTCAGGTGAATCAAGAACAGAATCTAAAATATTGGAAATTTGCCATTGTATCATTTTCTGGAGTAGAATTCTGTATACAGAAAGATCCTGTGGGGGTGCTATATGAATGTATTTAACTGGAAAATGCTCCAAAGGTAAAGAGGCAGTTTCCCACACCAAGAAGGCAGAGCTTCCCTGAGTAGAGGGCTGCCAGGAGGGACAAGGACTGAGCAGCGTACTGCCCACAGCACACTCCTCATGGGCCACACTGAGGCTATCAGCCACATTGTAAGTGAGGAATTGAAAAGCTCCTTGGCTGGACTTCCCTAGCCTGGATGGTCAGCAACTGCAGACTGCTACTCTAATCCTAAATTTTCATACTGTAACCTTAGGATTTAAGCTTAAAAAGTTCAACCGATTACTCAAGACTCCAGTGACACTCCTGGTTCTTGGCAAACATTTAAAGGTCTGCTGTGTTGTGTTTTAAATGGAAAGCGGAAAAAGACTTGTAGCAGCCTCTCTATTACATGACAAAGTGTAACCAGGAATAGTCACAGAGTCTCCGCCACTCTTCTGTGAATGCTAATTGGGCCTGATAGAACCTCTGGCTACTGGACTGTCCATCAGTATTTTGAAAATGGCCAGTCTGCTCAGCAAGAGGACACTGGAACACAATTCACTTATCAGCAAGAACAGGTGTGCTGTAGAAACTCATTCGTTATACACTGTCTGGGGGACATGTCCTAGGGATACTTTATTTCAGCCTAAATGACAGGAAGAACTCTGTTTCTTTACATACCAATTGAGAATGTACCTTGAATTTCCCCCGAGGAAAAACAGATAGCACTACCATTCTATACCAATCTTAATAAATGTAAGAGGAAGGGACTTACATTATACATCTGTACCCTGAAAACAGCATAGAAACAACACTTAGGAGGAAAATACTTGCTAAGTACATAATATGTACATAGTGAGCTCCTAAAGAGAATGGTTGCTTGGTCACATGACTTCATCACAACAAAGTCCAAGTTGGCTGTTGTTTCTGCTCTTGACCAGCTCCTTTCTAAAGAGTCCTTTGCTTCCTCTAAAGTTTGGATAAATTTCATATATGGCAGAATGGTAGGTACAACGTGTGAGCTCTGGACCAGATGGTCCTCCCCAGAGCCCCCAACACCAGCTATATTTGACTTTGCCAGTTTGAATTCTTTAAGCCCGTGTCCTCTCTAGAAATCGGAAATAATGGTATCTATACTTTACTGGGTTTTTATAAGGAATAGATGCAAAGGATGTTCCTGGCACAAATGCTGGCTACATGATAATAAACTCACTAAACAGTCATTTCTTTGGCAGTTGAAGACATTTTGTTAGCTGGGAAGGGGTCTAGTACCGAACTCTCAGTACATCTTAGATATTAAAATGTGTAACTAAGACAGATGACACTGTTTTGTGTGGGATTTACTAAGCCACCAACTGACCCAGGACTGCTACAAGACACAATATTCTATGGTCCTCCTTTTTGCTATTATTTCCTCTTTAGAAAACAGAACCCTCCCTGACTTGTGGAACAGTGTCTTTTACACTTTTCATGCTTTCGCTGACAATGCCAGGCACCTACCACACCTTCATGAATTACCTGTGGCCCTGTCAAGATATGCTTGCCAGGAGGAGAGATCAGACAGGATGCCCTGGAAGCTGTCTCTGCAGGTCAGGCTTTCCCACACCATACCAAACTGTCCCATCTGGTTGTTGCCAACACCCCAATGAGGTCTTCATGGCTCCTGGTACGCTCTGAACCCGAGTGCTTAATACAGACCCTTCACAGGGTCAGACCTTTGTATTTTCACTCACCCTAGGACCTTATGAAAATCACCAAGCAATCCAAATTGGTTGACTCCACAGGCTCAGAGCCTGGTATCTTGGCTGACACCCTGCTGAGAATATTAGCGCTAAATGCTTACAAGGGAACAGCCGAGAAGGACCCATTAAACCTCCAGCTTTGTGCTGCTGGAAGGTCTCGCCCGGTGAATGGGGCTCCAGAAGCCCAATTATCTCAAGTTCTCTGATTCAATTAAAAGCTGTCAAGATGTTTCTGTCTTTCTCTTTGAGTGAGACTGACAAAGAAGTACAAAATCTATCATTTTTTTTCTTTTTTAGCTCAAATCTTGTGGCAGTGACAGCTTTACTGTCAATGGGAGGAAAATAAAAACCTATTTTAATGACGGTATTATACATTCAAAACCCCAAATAACTCACAGAAAGTTTTCGCTTAGAATGATAGAAGTTATAAAGGGAGCTAATCTATTCAACCAGTCTATTATTAGGTATTTGAATGTTAATACCTGTAAGATTATGCTGAGATAGAAGGAGGGGGGCACCTGTCATCTTGTCCCTGAGAGCTAAGAGAGAAACTGAAAATTTCAGAAGAGACTGGGAGATGAGGGAGAGAACACAAGAGGGGACCCCGCCCCCTGCCACACTAGCCCGGATCTCCTTAAGTCATGTCGACAATTCAGTGTTAACATTCGCTGAGCACATACGATGAGGTAGTGTTAGAAGGGATCCCAGGGAAAGATTAAGAGTGTTACAGAAGACGAAAAACTTCTCCAATGCTCCATTTAGGGAACAGAGGGGAGGCATGTCATGGAGGACCATGGGGATTCAAGAGGCAGTGGAAAGATACAATTCAGGCTTCAAAGAAGACCCGAAATCTTCAGGGAAAGCTCGGCTTTGGTGTAAAGTATAAAAACATATACAACATCTTTGCTGCCTCTCTTGACTTCATTACTATCAATGAGATGTAGAAAACTCCCTGCCGCCAGGTCAGGCCACACAAAAGGAGGGACTAATCTGGAACATGAGGAATTCTTAGCGTCCATACGAAGCAAATTCCACTGTTTTCTGACTTTCCTTTGGTTTGATTATTGGTTCTGCTCACCAGGAAGCCGTCGTGATGGGAGACACAGGAGACGGACAGTTGGGGCTGGGTGAGAGACCCTCCTATCCTGAGCAGACACAGGGCAAACCAGAGGACTCCGGCATCTCGGGTGAGTCATGTTCCCCATTAGGCCTCCAATCTCTTAACTGTGAAGTGAAACTTGATGACCATCTCAGAACTTTAAAGGGAAGATCGAACTCCTGCCAAGCCTGAAATGCTGCACTGGACCCCAAGCAAGCAGCAGTCAGCAAGGGGCCCAGAAGGTGGTGGCCGATCTCCTGGAGAGAGAACCAGCCCGGCTGACCAGTGAGCCCCCCACTCATGTCACAGTCCAGCACTGTAGAGGGTCTGTTCCTGAAGGGCTGAATTTGGTCATGGACCCCCCACAGCATCCGGGTGATGGGAAGAACAGGGGATTCAGCTCCAGGAAGGCCTGGACTTCCCTTCTGGGGCTAGCCACATGGTTCTGCACAGGTTTCTTAACCTCTCTGAGTCAGACACCTGTGTCACTAGGATAATCCCCTACGTCCCTACGTCGGGGCTGCTGTGAGAAGGGAATTAAATAAGGAAAGAAAAGGCTCCTAACACAGCACCTAGCACATACTAGGCTCTCAACCTGGGTTAGTTTCCAGTTTCCTTTGCTCCTTATATAATTCTGCTTATGAGAGAAATTCAGGCTGCCTGGCGTTTTGCTGGGAACGGTGAAAATTCTGCCACTGAAAATAACATGTGTAGGAGGAGGCCTCTGTGCAAATTTAAATGCACATTTAAGATACTGAGGCTACGTACACACATCAGCAAAACCTCTAAACCATGGAGGAGAGAGAGAGGATTACCAAAGCAAAGTAACCATCTTTAACTGCGAAGGCCCCTGCCAAGCCTCCCTCTATCAAGAGACAGGGCTTTTTAGGGATTCCTCAAATTAAATTAAATGAATCCTAAAAAGCATCTGGTCCCATGGAAAACTGCAGCAGTCACCTTCATCTGCGGGGGACATATTCCAAAATACCCAGTAGATGCCTGAAACTTCCGGTAGTACTATACCCTATATACACCATGATATTTCCTGCACATACACGGCTATGATAAAGTTTAATTTATAAATGCACAGAGATTAACAAGAGCTAACAACAAACAAGAACAATTATAACAATGCATTGTAATAAAAGCCATATGAATTGGTTTTTCTCTCTTAAAAAATCGTATTTTTGGACGATTTTTGGACTCACCCTTCTTCTTGTGATGATGTGAGATGATAATATGCCCTCATGATGAGATGAAGTGAGGGGAATGACATAGGCATGGTGACCCAGTATTAGGCTACTGATGACCTTCTCTCTCTCTCCTTTTTTTAAAAAGATTTTATTTATTCATGAGAGACACAGAGAAAGGCACAGACACAGGCAGAGGGAGAAACAGACTCCCTGCAGGGAGCCCGATGTGGGACTTGATCCCAGGACCCCAGCATCACGAATCAAACCAAAGGCAGACACTCAACCACTGAGCCACCCAAGTGCCCCTACCAATGACCTGCTGATGACAAGTCAGAAGGATCCTCTGCTTCTGGATTGCCGCTGACCATGGGAAACTATGGATAAGGGTGGGGGGTGGGGACTGTTGCACGTGGGCTTTGGCGCCAACCGAAGCCCTGCTATCACTTCTCTCCCCAAACTATGAGTTTCTAGAGCCTTAAAGAGTGAACAAGTCCAGAACTTTAGTAAGATCTTATACAGACCTGCTGGTGAAAGGTCCTTCTTCATTCTTTTTAATTTCTTGGCCTTCTTCTTTCCCTCAGAGAGGGATTCTGCACAGGACTCAGTCTGCTCAAGCTCGGTGTCCGAAATCTCCCCTGATATTCTGGCCTCCAAGTCCGCCTCGGCTGGGCTGGGACTCAGGTTTCTCTTTCCTACTGTGCTGGTCGCTGTAAGACTGAAACACAAACAGTGGAAGGACATGAAAGGTGTGGAGATTAACAGGAACACCAGCCTATAAAATGTCTAAATACTCTTAAGTCTGTAACCACTAAACTAGCAGCCAACAACCTGTATGTGAAAGTTAAAGACTTTATATAGGAACTGAAGTCTAAAAGTTTCCCCGCTGACAGCATTACTCAGAAGCACGTTCTACGTTATGCTTGTGTACATACACATACAAATCCAAGCTGTTCTTAGCACTTCAATGGATGAAATTTTTTTTAAAAAAGATTTTATTTATTTGAGGGAGCGCACACATGCAAGAGAGCACGAGCAGGGCGGGGCGTGGCAGGCAGAGGGAGAAGCAGGCTCCCTGGCTGAGCAGGGAGCCTGGTGACATGGAGCTCAATCACAGGACCCCCCAGGATCATGACCTGAAGGCGGACCCTTAACTTACTGAGCCACCCAGGCGCTCCTCAAAGAACAAAGTTTTAAAGAAAATTGCTGGTCTCTGTTTTGGTAGAGCTCCTAGAGCAGAAGAGCAGAACAGAATAGTAGAGCTGCTGTAACAAAACAATAGTCTTGGGGGTGCTAAATTGGAAGACAGCATTGTTACCTTCATGATTGACTAATGAGGTACGCAGCACAGCAGAAGAACTCTTGAGTGTGCCCCCTATCACCTTGCTCATCATCTGAATCCACTTAGCCAGGGCATATCCCATCTTCACATAATTCTCTTCTGTGCCAAAACGGTGACTTGTCAAATTTATAATTAAACCTGGCTTCACTTTTAAAGCTTTATAGGATGTGACATGTTAAATTAAATCAAATTACATGTCCTGATTTTTCCTTGAGAAAATATGTTCCCTGAAATATAACTTGATAAAAACAGAGACCGCATGGCCCATGTAAGTCCTGTCTCCTCTAAATGGGTCTTATAAATAGATTTTTTATTATAGCCCCCAAATTATGAGAAACATTTAAAAATCAAGTCATTCCAATTCAGGAAGGCCATTCAAGTACAGAGAGGAGGCGGAAAGGGAGAGACTGAGTGAATGCAGACATACCCTGATTTCAGCCTTTTCTCAGGAAGCAAATACTTAAAACGTTACATATAAAGAAACCTCTGGCTACCCAGTCCTCCCAGTTCCTCTATGTTAGTCCTGCATTTGGTCTTATCTGTACTTCACACTTGTTCACTCACGTGAAGAAGGAAAAAGATAAACTGTTTCCCTGGTGGTTCTTAGAAGCCATAGGAGGCAAAATAGGGCTGAGAGCACATGGGCTCTTACGACTGGCTGACTGGCCTTCCACTTGTCCTCTTTTTCACATACATTACATGCACTTTTCTGAAACATCTCTTTTATTGGGGAGACATAAGGAAAAGGGGGGACACCAATGGTAATATTTGGAGGGTTATTAAAAATTCATGCCAAATGTAATGTTTAAAAACTGATAATAAAAAATAATAAAAACTGATAATAGCCTTAAAAAGTTTTTTTTAAATATTTTATTTATTTTAGAGAGAGCTAGAGAGAGTGAGGGGCAGGGGCGCAGATCGAGAATCTCAAGCAGATGCAGGCTCCATCTCATGACTCAGAGATCATGACCTGAGCTGAAATCAAGAGTTGGACACTTAACCTATGGGGAGCTACCCAGGTACCCTACTTTTAAACAGTTTTCTTAAAGATAAAAAATAATTTTGGCTGGTTTCTGAAAATTTGGAAAATTCAAAAAGTGTAAGAAAATAATAAGGACCCACTCTTCCACCACAAAAGGGGAACAGGCCTAAAAATTCCTCGGTGCTGTAAATCTTGGAACCTGGTAGTGTCTGAGATGTGAATGTTTAATGAAAACTCAGTTGGGACTTTGAGAAATACAAAGTCCAGAAATAGCCTCAACTACATATAGAAATCTGGTGTACAATGAAGGTCATATCTCCAATTACTGGGGCAAGGATGAACTTTTAAGAAATGGTGTTGAGACTACTGGAAAAGGATAAATTAAACTCATTCTTCACTTGATACAAAAGCATAAACACCCAACGGATCAGATATCTACATGTAAAAAATAAATGTAGATACTACAATAAAATAAATGTAGGTACTACAATAAAACCTGGGTGAATTCCTCCAAAATCTGGGTGTACAAAAAGGCTTTCTCTTTTTTAAGTGTTTTTTTTTTTTTTAAGATTTCCATTTATTTATTCATGAGAGACACACACACACACAGAGAGGCAGAGACACAGGCAGAGGGAGAAGCAGGCTCCATGCAGGGAGCCCGATGTGGGATTCGATCCCAGATCAGGCCCTGGGCTGAAGGCGGCGCTAAACTGCTGAGCCACCCAGGCTTTCTCACTATGACTTGCAATCCAAAATCCAGACACAATAAAAAATTTATAAATTTGATCTCATAAAAATCTTTTGCATGGCAATCAATATGATGAGCAAAGTCAAAAGACAAATGAGAAACCAGGGAAAAATATCTGTAGCATATATTATTGATAAAAGGTTAATGTCTCTGATATACAAATAACTCAATCTGAGGGGAGTCATGGCAGAGCCATGAACTCACTGTATAGAGGGGAATGTGGCAATATTAACAAAACTACATATTTACTTACTTCTTGAGTCTACAATTGCACTTGTAGGAATTTGGAAGATATACCTTTAACAATGCAAAAATACATATGCACAGGTTATTTATTCATTGCAGCTTTCTTTGTAATTACAAAATACTGCCAAGGCAAAATACTGCCTAAATGTCTAAGCACTGGAAACTGATTAAACTGTGGTACATACATTCGGTGAAGTACTGAGCAAATAAGAAAGAATGAAGATCTCAAAGAACTGATAGGGAATGATTTCTAGTTAAAATAAAATTTAAAAAAAGGTGGAAAAAGCAAAGTGCAAAAGAGCAATGTATAAGTCCAGTATTCCCAGTCTTGGGTAGGGAGTGGGAAAGAACTCAAATCCTGAGCTCTTTAGGAGGTTTGCTTCTGTTGTCAAATGAGTGAAGCAATTTTGAAAAATTCTTAGATGTGTTATAGTACTAAGCAAATGAGTGAATGTGTTGAAGCCAGACACACACATACTGAAGTAGAGGAAGACAAGGAAGAGCCCTCTGGAGATGGAATAATATTGGAGACAAGGCTTAAGCTCATGATTTTAAAAATAAGTATGTGTGTACGTGTGCATATTTATGCATCCACATGCATATGCACATGTGTGCACTAATGTGGGGGTATGTATGTGTGTACATCCATGCACTATCTAATGAAAGAGCCTATGAGCAAAGAAACTCCAGTAGCAGTGAGCACACTAGGTGTCTACATCATAATTTCTAAAATTGAACACCCTAAGAAAAAACAGGGCTTCTGGAAGAATTGGCTTATTCCATGGCTGGGGTAAAGGAGACACAAAATGAGCCTGGAACATCTCGGAATACAAGAAGGCAGGAAACTGCTCAAGATGTGAGGAGGCATGTTACAGGTACGGAGGGCCTGGCTGGAAAAGGCTCTTTCTGGTCAGGTATCTGAGCATCCAAATAAGTAAGGGGCAGTAACAAATTCTAAGCTGATGAAAAAATAGGTTTACATTTATATTTATAATATATATTATATTTGTATGGGTTTATATAATACATGACACAGAGAGGGGAGAAGAAAGAGCTCTTACAGTTGAGTACTAACTAGGAATTGGTAATGGAGAATAGAAACAGAGCTAGCAGATGATCCCTTTGTAACCATCACATGAAGGATGGTCGAGGCAAACATTCTCAGCAGCTGCTCAGCCTGGGGAGATGTTCTGATGGAGGGCAGGATATCTGCATGATCTGAGAGGGTCTCCCCACACACTGGTACCTGCACAGCATCACCTGTGCAGTATTCCAGTCAGGACCGCGTAACTGAAATGCAACCATGAAGAAGTATCAGACAAATCCGGATGGAAAATATTTTACTGGGAAAAAAAAAAGTAGTAGGAGGGAGGGGCTGGTGTTCTTCAACAATGTCACTGTCCCAAGAGACTAAAGAGGTAGGAAACTAGATGTAACACGTTATCACAGAGTGGGCCTTATAATGGAGGGGGGTGGGGAGTGAGACAGATGATACCAGCTGAAATACTAAAACTGGGATATGACTGGTAAAGCATCCTAGCAATGTTAAATTACCGAGGTTGGTAACTGTACTGTAGGTGTGTAAGAAAATATCCTTACTTAGTGGACTTAGGGACAAAGGATCATGATGTAGTTAACTTCCTTTCAGATGGCTCAGAAAAAAAAAGTAAGTATGTTGGGAGGCATGCAGAGAAAAAGAGAGGGAATGGGGGGCGCCTGAGTGGCTCAATTGGTTGAGCAATCAACTCTTGGTTTCCACTCAGGTCATGATCTCAGGGTCTTGAGATCAAGCTTGAGCTGCGGTGCTCAGCAGGGAGTCCGCTTGTGATTCTGACTCTCTCCTTCTCCCTCCGCCCTCCCCCTCCCACCACCCTCTCTTAAAAAAAAAAAAAAAGAAGGAAGAAAAAAAAGAAAGAGGGAAAGGAAAAGGGGAGGAGAGAGCATGATATGGAGTGTGTGTACACAGATGAGAGGATGCAGGAAGAGAGAGCAAGCGCACAAATGCATAATAATATAAATGGAGCAAAGTGTCAACAACAAAAAGGATTTTCATAAATTCTTCCCATTAATTTACAACATATTTCTTAGTTCCGCATCTGTAGTTTCTGCCCCTAAACAAGAATCCTTTGCTTCCTAGGAAGGTCTGTTGTGTATTGGATATCCTGCCTGTGAAAGCCCTCAGATATGCGTGGAATGGATACATATCAGATGTTAATTGGGTATATGGATGTAATATCCACGCTTGTGTAAAATTTTCTCAACTATCATTCTCTTAATAAAAATAAAAGCTGTGACTATATCCCATGTAATTTAATAAAGCAGTTTTAGATCAAAACCAGTTTTTACTGTGGAAGGAGCCTCGGTGTCCATCGAAAGATGAATGGATAAAGAAGATGTGGT